AAACTCTTATTTCTTACATGGATATATATCACAACGTTTGAGAACAGGTGCTAATTATCTGGTGTTTAGATATACCGTCAACACGTACTTCACTTATCTAGTGCTTTAATGACAAGTACTGGGAAATTCAGTTGCTTTGTTATTTGCAAACGATGCTTCGTACAACAATTCAAGCAAAGTGCAAATTGTTAATTAAATTATTAGTAAGAACTTACTGAATTGAAAATTAATATTTTCGTCACTTTTCGAAAGCATCCTCACTCTTTTTTTATAATCACTGAACATCGACATTAACACATTCTCTAACTTTTGTGGATAACCAATATTGCTGATCTCTGTTGACCTAATGGCTATTAAGGTCATACGATAATAGTGTAAACAAATTGAATCTGGCTAAATAAATGTGTTATGAAGAGAGACATAAGAACTGAGTGGTAGATGAAGTACTGCACACGCCAGTTCATTGTGTGTAACTGACTAATCTTAGCCAGTCGTCATTGACTTGGATGATGTTATCACGAATGATCAATTGATCGGTCAGACAAACTTGATCCTTAAAATAGACGAAAGTGATGTTTTGGTATACACCTTTGAATCACTTTTGAAATGTGTTATTTATATATCGATAATATCTTCATATACTATAAATCTCGTTTTATACAGGTTGTACTAACGGTTCGCGATAAAAACGATTGGTTGATCAGTCTGCGACAAGTGGTCATGCCTAAATCGGATGATCCACGTAAAATACACATGGATGAAGCGAAAAGACGTGCAGGAATTCCAGTTGAATTTGACAAACTTCTTATTGATTCATTGAAACTAGCATTTCAGAAGGAAGATATTGATTTTGATGATGATGCCATGTTACTTGAATGTTACGAAAAACATAACAAAACTCTTCAGGAAAATATACCATCTGAACGTCTTTTGGTATATCATATTGGAGATGGTTGGGAACCATTGTGTAGATTCTTGAATGTGGATGTACCAGCTAATATACCATTTCCCGAGACCAATCATCAGGCTGACCTGCAAAAGCTAAGGGATTTGACGAAGAAATTTGGATCGATTGAAGAAGTTGCTAGAATTCATCCAGGAATTGTATAAAACTGAAGTATACACTGATTGTACTAAACATTGACTTTATTATTAACTAAGAAATAAATTTTCATCAAGCCTTGAATTCCACTTTCTCATTGACAACAATGGTAATATTAGTGAAAAATATAGTCAGTATAATAAACTGAAATTTTGCATTTCTTAATTACTTCCTCACTATACATAATGATGTACATCAAGTACAGTTTGTTAACAACGGTCAAATAACTGAGTGTAGAGATGAGGTGATTGAATATACGATGAGAAAACGTAACTCCACAACGTCTGGGTTTCTTGAAAATAATGTCATATTTATGGAACAATAATTTCTCGAACCCTGTCCGAAAATCACTCACTCACACATACGCTGAAGCGTATTTACTTGCTCAAAACAACTGATATTCTCTGAGACCATTAGAACACGCTGTTTTAGAAGAAATCAAGGTGTGTGATAATAATATATTTTGAGATAACAATATATTACATGAGATATGCTGGTTTATAGCCAAGGTGAAGTTGCTACAAATGCTGCAGGTCATACTGTATTAAGTTGCCTAATGACGTTGATGTGTTGTAGTGGACATGGACAATATAAACAAAGGGTAATTCTCCATATATGGAATAACAATTTCAGTATGACTTATGAGTCCAATATGATAGCTGACGTGCTATTAGAGAACTGCGTTGCGACGGCCAAGTGGTAATCTGTATAATGCATAATTCACAGTGAACAGTGTTTGTTCACTGACACTTATTCATGAGAGTGGAGAATGGAAATAACCGGACAAAAAAAAATAGAGCAAGAACAAAGAATGGTGCAGAATAATCTATGAATTCATTTTATTTCGTTAGGTTCTCATCAGCTGCTTACAACCTAAATTATTTGAAATTCAAATTATTACAGATATTGACATTTGTTGTACATAAGAGTGTGATGAAGGATCAATACATGTATATGATGATGTAGCAAGCAAAGATTCAGATAGAGTTAATGAGCTCATAAAATGTTTGATTCGAATAAATAAATAAATAAAGTTAGAGAGGTAAAGTTCTGGAACATTGAAATAGTGATTAGAACACATGAAAATAGAATAATGGTAATTAAGAAAATATGAATTGAAATCAATCATTTATGGATGATGTTGTAGCGTGGCGTCGAGTCGAGTTGGACTATGAACACCGCTACCAAGAAGCTCGTTCCAAATGACTCCATAAAATTCCCGAGAGGCCAAATATCATAAGGCAGTTAATGGACCAAGTCGATGTTTATTTGCTGGCGATCTCGTGGCATCGAAAGGATACCGAGATCGTGCCAGGATACAAGCTTGGTTACAAAACGTAACCGAATTCGCGCGAAGTTACAATCAAAGTGTAAGAATAAAAATGGAAGCACAATATAGCTGTCATTAGCACAGTTAAACAAAAGCACATTAAAACAAACACTGGTACAATTGGTTATAATAATAATTGTTTTTATTAAACCAGTCGTGTTCTCGTGATAAATGTGAGTCACTACAATGTAATTCAAACTTCAGAAAGAGTTGCAATAATGACGCAATAAATAAATAAATAGGAGCAAATGAATAGAAAGGGTGGGGATTATTGTTACCAAGGTAAAGAAAGATGTATTACTGTCTCTTTTTGTATACATAGATCTGGTTTTGCACGTTTGATTGCTAACGCTTCAGCGAATTTCAAAAGGTTGGAGTTTGATTGTTTGTTAATCACCTTGAAGGACTTCAGCATATCAACTTCATGTCCTGTATCAGAGAGATGTCTTGTGATAGCACTGTTGAATGCGTTCAATCCATTTAACTTTAAACGTTTCGGAATATGTTCTTTGAATCGGACGTAGGCTCTCCTTTCTGTTCTACCATTGTAACTGCTTTGGCAGGTACATGTGTCAGAGAACATGTTGTTTTGGAAAGGACAATCAATTTCGCTGCAGGATAAGTTCTCGTCAGTGCAGTTTTTAGTCTCATATTGATTGATCCTGTGATGCTGTCACCTTTGAATTGAAGTTGAATAAAAATAGGCTTTTTATTTGCTGTAATTTCTTTCGGTTTTTATCTTCACATTTGCCGTATTTTTCAATAAATTTCAGTAGGTATCCGATATTCTTTAAACATTTCTTTAACATTCATACAGGACATGAAGTTGATATGCTGAAGTCCTTCAAGGTGATTAACAAACAATCAAACTCCAACCTTTTGAAATTCGCTGAAGCGTTAGCAATCAAACGTGCAAAACCAGATCTATGTATACAAAAAGAGACAGTAATACATCTTTCTTTACCTTGGTAACAATAATCCCCACCCTTTCTATTCATTTGCTCCTATTTATTTATTTATTGCGTCATTATTGCAACTCTTTCTGAAGTTTGAATTACATTGTAGTGACTCACATTTATCACGAGAACACGACTGGTTTAATAAAAACAATTATTATTATAACCAATTGTACCAGTGTTTGTTTTAATGTGCTTTTGTTTAACTGTGCTAATGACAGCTATATTGTGCTTCCATTCTTATTCTTACACTTTGATTGTAACTTCGCGCGAATTCGGTTACGTTTTGTAACCAAGCTTGTATCCTGGCACGATCTCGGTATCCTTTCGATGCCACGAGATCGCCAGCAAATAAACATCGACTTGGTCCATTAACTGCCTTATGATATTTGGCCTCTCGGGAATTTTATGGAGTCATTTGGAACGAGCTTCTTGGTAGCGGTGTTCATAGTCCAACTCGACTCGACGCCACGCTACAACATCATCCATAAATGATTGATTTCAATTCATATTTTCTTAATTACCATTATTCTATTTTCATGTGTTCTAATCACTATTTCAATGTTCCAGAACTTTACCTCTCTAACTTTATTTATTTATTTATTCGAATCAAACATTTTATGAGCTCATTAACTCTATCTGAATCTTTGCTTGCTACATCATCATATACATGTATTGATCCTTCATCACACTCTTATGTACAACAAATGTCAATATCTGTAATAATTTGAATTTCAAATAATTTAGGTTGTAAGCAGCTGATGAGAACCTAACGAAATAAAATGAATTCATAGATTATTCTGCACCATTCTTTGTTCTTGCTCTATTTTTTTTTGTCCGGTTATTTCCATTCTCCACTCTCATGAATAAGTGTCAGTGAACAAACACTGTTCACTGTGAATTATGCATTATACAGATTACCACTTGGCCGTCGCAACGCAGTTCTCTAATAGCACGTCAGCTATCATATTGGACTCATAAGTCATACTGAAATTGTTATTCCATATATGGAGAATTACCCTTTGTTTATATTGTCCATGTCCACTACAACACATCAACGTCATTAGGCAACTTAATACAGTATGACCTGCAGCATTTGTAGCAACTTCACCTTGGCTATAAACCAGCATATCTCATGTAATATATTGTTATCTCAAAATATATTATTATCACACACCTTGATTTCTTCTAAAACAGCGTGTTCTAATGGTCTCAGAGAATATCAGTTGTTTTGAGCAAGTAAATACGCTTCAGCGTATGTGTGAGTGAGTGATTTTCGGACAGGGTTCGAGAAATTATTGTTCCATAAATATGACATTATTTTCAAGAAACCCAGACGTTGTGGAGTTACGTTTTCTCATCGTATATTCAATCACCTCATCTCTACACTCAGTTATTTGACCGTTGTTAACAAACTGTACTTGATGTACATCATTATGTATAGTGAGGAAGTAATTAAGAAATGCAAAATTTCAGTTTATTATACTGACTATATTTTTCACTAATATTACCATTGTTGTCAATGAGAAAGTGGAATTCAAGGCTTGATGAAAATTTATTTCTTAGTTAATAATAAAGTCAATGTTTAGTACAATCAGTGTATACTTCAGTTTTATACAATTCCTGGATGAATTCTAGCAACTTCTTCAATCGATCCAAATTTCTTCGTCAAATCCCTTAGCTTTTGCAGGTCAGCCTGATGATTGGTCTCGGGAAATGGTATATTAGCTGGTACATCCACATTCAAGAATCTACACAATGGTTCCCAACCATCTCCAATATGATATACCAAAAGACGTTCAGATGGTATATTTTCCTGAAGAGTTTTGTTATGTTTTTCGTAACATTCAAGTAACATGGCATCATCATCAAAATCAATATCTTCCTTCTGAAATGCTAGTTTCAATGAATCAATAAGAAGTTTGTCAAATTCAACTGGAATTCCTGCACGTCTTTTCGCTTCATCCATGTGTATTTTACGTGGATCATCCGATTTAGGCATGACCACTTGTCGCAGACTGATCAACCAATCGTTTTTATCGCGAACCGTTAGTACAACCTGTATAAAACGAGATTTATAGTATATGAAGATATTATCGATATATAAATAACACATTTCAAAAGTGATTCAAAGGTGTATACCAAAACATCACTTTCGTCTATTTTAAGGATCAAGTTTGTCTGACCGATCAATTGATCATTCGTGATAACATCATCCAAGTCAATGACGACTGGCTAAGATTAGTCAGTTACACACAATGAACTGGCGTGTGCAGTACTTCATCTACCACTCAGTTCTTATGTCTCTCTTCATAACACATTTATTTAGCCAGATTCAATTTGTTTACACTATTATCGTATGACCTTAATAGCCATTAGGTCAACAGAGATCAGCAATATTGGTTATCCACAAAAGTTAGAGAATGTGTTAATGTCGATGTTCAGTGATTATAAAAAAGAGTGAGGATGCTTTCGAAAAGTGACGAAAATATTAATTTTCAATTCAGTAAGTTCTTACTAATAATTTAATTAACAATTTACACTTTGCTTGAATTGTTGTACGAAGCATCGTTTGCAAATAACGAAGCAACTGAATTTCCCAGTACTTGTCATTAAAGCACTAGATAAGTGAAGTACGTGTTGACGGTATATCTAAACACCAGATAATTAGCACCTGTTCTCAAACGTTGTGATATATATCCATGTAAGAAATAAGAGTTTCAGAGATATAAATGATTTGAAATAATGAAATACAGAGATTATCATCATCCACATAATAAGAACTCTCAACTCACCTTTGCATCAGGGTATAAAGTCATCAATTCCTTGTATAACCAACACACTTGGATATTACCCATAGATCGGTAGCCAACCAACATTTCACTCAAACATTTATGTATCTTCTCTTCGCAACGTGTCGTTCGTACTTCATCGATAAGCATTTGCCATTTAGCAATGTCACATTGTTTTCTGGTCACAAGTTCATAACCATGATAACAAGGTTGATTGTAAATTATTTCCAATGCCTTTTTCATACTGGTCGTTCCGGTTCTTGGTAGTCCAGTAACAATAACTGATATTGATGATGGAGTTTTCGACATACTTTTGACTGTAAAAGAATATATGAATTAAGAAACAAATAGACAGGAATCAGAGCATCGAAATTTTATATTTCAGTTAGCATATCAATCTCATTATACCGATTAGTGGAACTTATTTCAAAATATCTTTGTAATCGAACGAGTATTACACAAAGATGAAATGGCTAAATACGTTTAACCATGATAACCGTTCAACTGTATAATGTGTGATTCACAGTGAACAGTATTTGTACACTGACATGAGAGTGGAGAATGAAAATAACCAGACAAAAGAACAAGATAAGAACATTCACTATTTCTGTAATATCTATCGGCGTACCACAATAAAAATAAATGTCTGACTGCACAATCGCTTGTTGAGATATTTATATGTGAAGAATAACAGTTGAACCAGACTAATTGTTTAACAAATCACATTAACGTCAAAGAGAGAATAAACGATGTCAGGTTAAACCGATTAAGTTGGAATCTTTTCGCCATTAAAACTGAAAAATACTGAGGTATTTGACCCAGACAGCCAGAAATAAAAATACGTGCTTAGATGACACTACAAACGGACAACCAATATTTATTGAAATGTCTCAATGCGAAATCGATTCGTAGCTCCATTCTATCACAAACGTGATCAATTTTAGTTATACCTGACACAGAAACAACCTAATCCTAATTATCTTACTAATATATTAACTATATCTCATCAGGATTTATTTCGTTTCTCAGGTATTCGTATTAGCGATCTTGGTTCTTGTGTTCATATTGATTCATAATATTTCAGTTAGTTTGTTGATGTAGAGAAAAGTGACAGACGACAAGACAAACTGTTTTGATGTTGTTTCTTTTTGTTTTCACTTATTGATAATGATCTACCTTCCTAAACTGGGTAGACGTTATTTTAGATGAAAGATAATTTTACACAATGATCATTTTCACTGAGTTAATTTACTCTGGCATAGACCTACATACCTCGTCAAAATGCTAGTGAATATTATGAAGTGAATTCCAATTATTCTTATTAATAAGTGTAGCCGTATTTTTTCTATTTCTGGAACTTGTGGAATTCTTTTCTTTATGTTGTCAATAATCAATTAAAATAGCTTTGTTTCGTTGTACGTTTTTCATTCAAACATTTAAACATCATTGTTTTATATTTGAGTATGTTTTGATGGCGATCTAACTGATAACAGTGATACTTGATTAGTTGTTATATTTTACTATCCGAATTCATGAATCATTGTAAGCTGCACCACCATTGGAAATCGTGGCACGTTGGAAGGCGGTTTCGTCCACGTATTGAACAACCTAGCAGCGTGCACAGATCATCCGAACTGTGGCGTTGAAACGCAAGACCTGCGGGCTGGCGCACCATTTCTTAACCTCTGAACAACTGAACTTGAATCCAACAATTGTCACGTCCAAATTCAGTGAATCCATGCATGCGATGACGTGTACGCACAAGCTGAATACATGGAAGCAAACAGGTAAGAGAAGAAGAGCTTTAGATTCGACAAGCAGAAATACATAGACGAATCAGCACCGACGGCGGAAAAGGCTGCAAAGGAAAGAAAAATGAAACAGCTTCACGATAAAACGAAGAAACTATCAGAAAAATATAGTAAACCAGTGACCTATCAAGGAAATGAATGCAGGCCAATCACAGAAATTCAACAACAGAGGAGCATGTGGAGAGAGTACTTTGAGGAGCTCCTGAATAGGCCGGTTCCAATGAATCCACGGGACATCAAAGCAGCTCACACAGACCTTCCTATGAATGTCAACCCACCAACGACTGAAGAAATCAGAATGGTCATCAGACAAATCAAGAACGGCAAAGAAGAAAGACCCGACAATATACCAGATGAAGCACTGAAGTCAGACATAGAAGTAACTGCAAACATGTTTCACCTTCTTTTCAAGAAGATTTGGGAGGAGGAACAATGCCGATGGACTGAAAAGAAGGACACCTCATCAAGATTTCAAAGAATGGAGATCTGAGGAAATTTGAGAACTAAACAGGCATTACAGTACTGTCAATACCAGTAAAAGTCTTTAACAGAGTGTTATCAACCCGGATGAAAGACTTAGTAGGCGCCCAACTTTGAGATCAACAAGCTGGATCCCATGAGGCTCGATCGTACACTGATCGACAGTACGGATCATCGACGAACAATTAATTGACTGGAACTCGTCACTGTACATCATTTTCATTAATTATGAAAAGGCATTTGACAGTGTAGATAGGATGACGTTATGGAAACTTCTTTGACACTACGGAGTTCCTGAGAAGATTGTCAAAATTATCCGGAACTCATACGACGGACTACATTGCAAAGTAGTGCATGGAGGACAGCTGACAGATGCATTCCGAGTAAGGACCGCAGTCAGACAAGGCTGTTTCCTCTCTCCCTTCCTCTTTCTTCTGGTGATCAACTGGATTGTGAAGACCTCGACATCTGAGGGAAAACACGGAATACAATGAACAGCTCAGAACCAATTAGACGATTTGTATTTCTCAGATGATCTAGCCCTCCTATAACGTACACACGAACAGATGCAGATAAAGACAGCCAGTGTGGCAGCAGTCTCTGCATCAGTAGGCCTCAGCATACACAAAGGGAAAACTAAAGTCCTCAAATTCAAGGCGGAAAACAACAATACAATCACTCTTGATGGTGAAACTCTGGAAAACGTAGAGTCTTTCACATACCTAGGAAGCATCATCGATTAGCAAGGAGGTTGAGATGCAGACGCAAAGACGAGGATTGGCAAAGCAAGGGTCGCATTCCTACAATTGAAGAACATATGGAACTCAAAACAACTTTCATCCAATATCAAAGTGAGAATCTTAAATACGAACGTCAAGGCAGTTCTACTGTATGGAGCTGAAACTTGGAGAACTACAACAACCATCATCAAGAAAGTACAAGTATTTATAAATAGCTGTCTACGCAAGATTCTCAACATTCATTGGCCGGATACCATCAGCAACAGCCTTTTGTGGGAGAGAACAAACCAGCTTCGGGCTGAAGAAGAAATTAGGAAAAGACAATGGAAATGGATAGGACAAACATTACGCAAATGATCAAACAGCATCACGAGTTAAGCCTTTAGTTGAAATCCTGAAGGGAAGCGGAAAAGAGGAAGTTCAAAGAACACATTGCGTCGGATAATAGAAGCAGATATGAAAAGGATGGATAACAACTGAAAAAAGCTGGAAAGGATTGCCCAGGACAGGGTTAGATGGAGAATACTGGTGAGCGGCCTATGTTCCTTCACGAGAAATAACAGGCGTCAGTAAGTAAGTGTGCATTAGATGCATGGTCATCTCTAAGAAAACAACTGGTCTGCCACATTGAGATGGATATAATACTACACTTATCAAATTCCTCAATTCTCGGGTATCACGAAATTTATTGCTCAGAGAGTGGACAAGAGTTACACGAATATATGGCAAAGTGTTGTTTCAGCTTTGCATTTCAGGTGAATGCTCGTGTTAATTTTGAGTCCTACGAGCATGATATTTCAACGGATACTCGCAAAGATTGATCAGCGAAGCGTCATCTACGCTTACTTCATATGGTAGTGAACATCTCAGTTGTTCCACTGTTTTTATATCAGTTTGTTCTAGCGAGCTGAAATGATATTTATTGATTTCCGCGTTAGCTAAATGAAATATTACTGGCAAAGTCATAAGACTCTTGAATATATACTTGCTTAGTCAAATGTTGACGAGTACATTAATCTAAGCGATCTATTCATTTTGTTATTAGCATGAACATGGCATGAGATAATGTACTTCTTCAAATGTGGTCAGTATTAGATACTGTAATCTTTACACTGTATTCTGTGCAAATTGCATGAATCAAATAGACAGAAATTCTGTCATGTGAAGTCGTCCATATCC